GTTTATAAGATTTCAATCAATTGTGGTATAGAAAACAAAAGATTTCGATAGTAAAAACACAATTATAGGTCAATTATCTTTAATTTTGCATTATAATTTATTTAATTTCTCAATTAAATCTTAAATTTAGGGTTTATAGTCAAAATATTGAATTAAGGGCTTTACGAAATTGGAGGATTTGGGGCAATTGAAGTGTATAATCCAATTAAGAGTTAATGTAGTGCAATATTATCATTTAATTTGGGTTTTTTGAGGGAAATTTTATAAAATATGCCCCAAAAACGGAGATTCTTGCCGGAAACAATAAATGTGGTAGTGCTACTCAAACTTTGTGTTTTTGTGGTAGTTTTTTCAAAGAAAATTTTAAATGGTAGTTGTTCTCAAAAGTGGTTATTTAAATGGTAATTATTCGCAAAATTTCCAAATTTATAATAAACATGAATTACCTACAATAGAGATATGCACACAAGCAGCAAACACATCTACTAAAATAAACATAACAGCACTGAGATATAAAGCAGAATTTTCTTTTACCTGTAAACGAGTCTTAATGGTGTCTAGCGGAGTTGTGATGCAAGATGCCGTGGCACCAGCAACAACACCCCCAGCAGCTTGAATAGACACAATTTTCCCTAGACTAGGAACCTCTTGCTGCTCAGTTCCATCTCCTAGAAGGCTGAACATATACAAAGCATTTAAACCCCAAAAAAAAAAAAAAAAAAAAAAAAAGAAGAAGAAGACAGAACTATAATGTTTTATGATTGGTATAAAATATGACACATAAAATACTGACACTCTTAATTCCTTAAGGACACATCTTCATAATGACCACTTCTGAACAGCACAAATTAAGCTAAGTAACTCCTCAGACCTCAGTACTAAGACTTCTAACATATAGCAAAGTTTTACACTTTCACTATATTGATACAGCAACTTAGTCTCAATAAAACACAAATTATCACTAGGCCTTAATTCAGAATTAAACTCTATAGAGATTTATACCTTACCTCCAAAATAAACGTTGACTAGAGCCGTAACTGGCCCACCATACAGCACTGGAAGGGGCATATGTCATCACTGATAGACCAAACCCCCTATACAGTCCCCTAACACCATCTGATTTAACAACCTTGCGAACAACATCAAGGCCCCCATTATATGTTGCATAACCCGAATATCCTTGTACCATCAACTTCTGGCTAACCTAATTTTCAAAGGTAGGAAGAAAAAACAAAGGGTCAAGGTGTATAGTCAATGTGAATCAGGTAAAAGTTAACAGTTAAGTTTCTTTCAATAAAAGTGTTTATCAAATGAAAAAGCAACAGAAGTTTGGCCTCGAGAAGTTAATAAATAATCGCAACTTTCTATGAAAAGCACATAAGCATAGCCTTTCTAAATAATTGAGAACTGACAGGACAACAAAGAAGAGCATATTCATGAAAGCAAAAGATCACACAAGTAATTTGGATTCTAAGTGACTTTGACTCAATAATGTTTGTTACAAAAGTAGATACTCACAAAGTAGACATGCCACAGTCAAAACACACAAACTTGTTGTCAGAGACATCACAGAATTGACCTAATTATAGGTACTTGTTCAATTACAATGATACTATAATAGAACAAACCCAAATTTATATTCAAGCTTAGTTTCAACTACTCGAAACAGATACATACCACGTCGACTGGAACAAACACAGCCTGTGCTGAAAGTGAACCAACCATGCCAGCAATACCATTTGCTATGGCTGCCTGTGACGGTTCAGACAATTTAAGTGGTTCAACCATCCGAAATGCCGCCACTTTAGTAGTCTCTAGAGCAGTAAGAAATATAATCCGGGCCGGAACTGCACCAGTGATGACAGTACCAAAACCTCTATACAAACCAGGTACACCATCAGCTTTCAATATGCCTTTGGCAACTGAAAATGCACTTTTCTCAGTAATATCCTTGGAAGCAACCTGTAGCCTAGTCTTAACAACAGAAACTGGATAAAGTGCTACTGTAATTCCCGTAAAAAGCCCAGCTCCAACAACATAGAATTTTGTCTTGTCAAGTCTGCAAAAAATTATAAAAAGCAAAATTTTAAAATAAAACTGCTTAGACATTTAACAGGGTTAAGAAGAAAGCTACTGTAATTATTGTCCAAAAGGATAGATACATTCCAATACAATCAAATCAATGCAATAAATATCTTAGAAAGACATAAGAATATTTCACAGTGACTTAATGTGATCAGACCAAAAAATACTCAATATTTATATAAAAAAGAATAAAAAACAAGGGTGGAGATCTTTTGTATAAGAGGCTTCAATAAAGTTGTAGGTTTTCTAATCGTTGTCAAAATACGGCTTGTTAAAAACATTCAGGAAAAGGTCAGGCAACATGATATGTATTAATGAAGAAGGCACCCTATTATGTACAACACTAGTAAAGGCCAGAGGTACTGTTTCTTTAGTTGAGGCAGCATAAATGAAGAATAAAGTCTGAAAAGGTGAAAATATAGAAACGTGAAATTATGACACAAGTATTGAACTAGAATATCCTTTGAAACCTATTGGCCGATATTGCAGACATCATAAGAGGTTGTACAAGGGCACTATTCTAGCACTCTTACATACTTGTTTATAGGATTACACCATATGAGTGACTATGACTTTCCCAGTAAAGTCAAGTTCCATGCTGATAAACTTGTACTGCGTATCAAATCCCAATATTCCAATGAACACCCTCACGACAACAGATTTTTAAGGGAGTGGAGTGACGCACCATTGTAAGTTTGTAACTTGTTAAAACCATACTTAAACAAAGAGAGTACATCAAATTCAAGAAGCGCTCCCACTTTGGGGAATGTGTCCACATAGCACAAATTAAATACCAACTCTAAGCCTAATAAAGCCTTCCAATCATTATAACAGTTACAAAGTTACCAGAAATTTTACGCTTTAAACATTAATCTTATTTTAGCAATGAAAGCAATCGATGGGTCGTGAAGCATTACTACATACGAAGTACTTATGGACTGAATATCAACCTTTCAAAAGTACAACCCTCCATTGCCAAAGGTCGGAACAGAGACAGTGAATCATAATCATCAACTGTCTCCAAGAGGACCCATTTAAAAAAAAACTTGGTAAATCCAACAAAGTAGCAGCCAATACTCTTTGGATAGTTGCACAATCAACTTCAGAATTACCAAACTAACATACACTATTCTATCCCATTTCAGCTACCATCTCTATTTCTTTTCTCATCAATCCTAAGATAATGATATCTTGTATGATTAATTGTTTTTGTAAAACTAATATGAAGTACAAATTTAGCTTATCAAGTAAACAAGAAAAACAGATATATATATATATATATATATATATATATATATATATATATATATATATATATATATATATATATATATATATATATATATATATATATATCAGTTCATATAGTAGATTAATTCTTTGAAGAAACTCATCCGAAACTCTAAAACAATAAAAGTTCTCAATTTCTCGCCTCAGAGGCAATGCTCCATTAGTCCATCACACATTAATTTCCATGGTTTACAATAAAACAGCATCTATCATCAAGAATTTTGCCTAATTTTGCCAGATTAAACTATAAAATACCAAATAACTTAAATGTTCAACACTATAATTATATATCCATGAAAAATTAAAGAACTAAAATATCTAAGATTCACCGAATAAACAAAGGTTTGTCATCAAATCTTCAATTTCAGCAAAATTCTACTCCAAATACTTTAATTAACTAAGTGAAACTAATATAAGAAATTTAGGTTATAAATTATCCAGCAACATTAAAATTGCAAATTAAAAGCTCAAGAAATCTCAAATTTATGAACATTAATTGAGGAAATTTGACATAATCAAGGAAATGATAAATGAAACACTTACTTATCCCAATTAATCTCTGTTTGTCCGAATGCCGGAGTTCGAGGACCAGACGACCCCATTTGAATAGAGAAAAATTAAATTAAAGAACAAAAAAATCAAAGAACCCTAAAATCAGAAGATAAGTTGAAAAGGGGGGAAAATTGGTCAAAATCTCAAATAAAATTGGGAATCTGAACCAATGAATGAGTTTGATTTGATGAAGTAAAGTGAAAACTTCCCATCAAATCAAAATTCAAAGAAATGAAAGAAGAAGAGAAGTTGTTGTATTCTTTGCTCTTTTTAATTTTCTCTTATTTTTTAAAGAAGAGTTCTTTGTTTGTTCACGAGGAAATTATTGGGATTACTAAATTGAGGAAAAACGTGGTTTAGCACGTCAGAAAAACGTCCTCATTTCTAAAACTAGGCTGGCATCACCATGCCTCCCCACGAGCCAATGGTGCAAGGTGGTCTAGCCGTCTGCTCGTCCAGGCTTAGTCTCAACCTACTAATTTCGTGTCGTGCTTGCTGACGTTTGTTGGGGACTTGGGGGTGCATGGTTAGATGCTTAGATGCATTTTTGAGTTTTTTATTGGGTTATTAGTCTCATTACTTGATTATATTTCTATGTAAAATATTTTTAAATGAAAAAAAGAAAAAAACCTTAATAGAAAAGTTTTTACGCGTGCTTTTAATTGTATAGGACTAATTAGCATATGTCTTGTACCCGGTTACCTTAGTAGTGATTCCAATGAAATTAATTTAGCTGTATATATATATGCCTAACTTTTTTGTTATTTAGGATTTATATGTCCGATTTTAGTCATTTTCCTTCAACACTTGAAAAAAAAGTGAGATGGTTATTAAAAAAAATAATAATAATGAAAAATAAAACTGATTTTATCTAGTTCCAAAATCACTACTCCGTATTTATTTTCATCATAGATACATAAAACTAGAGTAATACTACATATATATATTGTAGATATATGAAATTGGTCAAAGACATTAAGCTCAATATCTGGTTGGTTGACTTCAAACTTTTAAATAGTTGCCTTCAAAGGAGAATAATCAGCACATATTGGCTGGTCGATCGTTGACTTCAAACTTGGAAAATAATAATACAGTACTCCACTTTGTATTACTCCGTATTTTTTTTTGGAATAACTAACACTTAATTCAAGGTGACACAAAAATAATTATCTATCAAATTCAGATCATGCCCATGTTCAGGTTTTTGAGTTCTCTTGTGTTCTTCCTCTATCTCTCAAACTTCATTACTACAGGTTAGCTCGCTCACTTTTACTTGCATTAGCATTATTCGGAATACTTGTTTTGTTTCTGCTATAATCAACTTAACATTTATTTTTATGAATTGTATTGTCTAATGTGAAAATTTGAAGTAATTTTATATCTTGTACCAAAATACTGATTGGTTATTTTTAGAAGCGGCTAATAATGGTTCAAATGGAAATATCACAATCAAGTGGGATGTTTTAAGCTGGACTCCTGATGGCTATGTTGTAAGTAATTCTTAACAAATGCTTATCTGTTACTCGTATCGTATCATACCATTGACTGATATTGATGGGTGCATTCAAAATCAAACCCTTTAATCTGTAAATGTACGGCGTGGCCTACTATAGGGTGTAGTTACAATCTACAACTTTCAAAGGAATCGTAGCATTCGAGCACCAGGATGGGAATTGGGATGGACGTGGGCAAGACAGGAGATGATATGGGCTATGACAGGAGCTCAAGCAACATACCAAGGTGATTGCTCACATTTTAAAGGAAGCATCCCACATAGTTGTATAAAGAACCCCACTATAGTAGACTTGATGTCTGGAACTCCTTACAACCAACAAATCGAAGATTGTTGTCGAGGAGGAGTGCTCGCTCCATGGTCCGGACATGATCAAGCTCGTTCCAAGAGTGCTTTCCAAATCGCGGTGGGACAAGAAGGCACTACCATTCAAACTGTCAAATTGCCCAAAAATTTCACGTTCAAGGCACCCGGAGATGGTTATAGCTGTGGACCTGCTAAGATAGTTAAGCCTACTCGATTTTTTACAGCGGATAAGAGGAGAGTTACTCAAGCTATAAGTAAGGCCTATTTTCACCCAAGTAAAAACTGGACATTTTTGTGTTATGCACAAATCATTCTATAGTTTATTATTTACATCTTTCTGTGAACACTTTACAGTGACTTGGAATGTTACATGCGTATATTCTGGTGCCCGGAAATCTCCTGCACAAGTCGGGTTTTAGGGAAGATCAAGCACGGCAACTAGCCCTGCTCCCTGGCCTCAGCTTTCTCCTCGTGGATGGATCGGATTACATTAATACACTCCCTAATCAAATCAGATTGCCACTGAATTCACATAGTTTATTTTATTTTCTGTTTTGAAAAATGTAATCAAAGATGTTATTCGTGCCAGATGTTGTGTATCTTAATGCTAATATAAGGCTATAAGCTAACAAAGTAATAATAAGCTTGTAATTGTGATGGAGTGATGCTCCTTATCTTTTTATCTTATAAATTAAAGTTCACATTTGGATGTTATGGCTTTTAATTTTAATGTTCCATACTTTTTTTTTGAAAAGGCGTAGTCTAGTCTTAATTGGCTAAAGTTGTCTGTTACTCAGTATTCAAGATATCCTGTCTGGGGGAGCTTTGTTATCGTTGTAGAAACTTCTACTCGTAGTAGCCATCATTGAAGAGAGCTTGAGTTCTCCCTCCATGCTTCCCATGGACACTAATACTTAACCGATCGAGTAATATTAACTAAATTATCATTAGTTACATCTAGCTAAAAACCATTGCAAATTTACAAAAGCTTAATTATTATTGCCGAACAAGTCCTTAGATGATGAACTGTTCTAAAATAATAGCTAAACATGCAAAGTAAATAGCATAACTCTTTTCGAAATTCAGAAACATCACCGACGTAGTTTGACTTCAAACTATTGAGTAATAACATACATAATTCACATCGGTACATCACACATATCCACATAATAAACTAAACCTTGTTGCATTACACAACAATATTTCTCAAGATACAAAAAAATCATATCATTCAAATTATTAATTTAACAATACTCAGCTGACCTTGAGTAATTATTTACAACCAAGTTGCTAAGCCTAAAGATATACAACTATAACACAACATATAAATCTCATCTCAGTTTGATTTCTATACAGCCCGAAACGAGGTTAAATTAAAAGCTCAAACTTTTTACAAAACATGGCATTAATCAAAGTCATCCACATTTTTAAAATTTTGAAGTATCTTACCATTTTCATTGTTCTGTTTTTCAATTCCTTATTTTCTCCTACAGGTCAGCCTCATTCTTCTTCCCTCCTAAATTTGGAATTAATTTTGCTGATAAATTCTAGATTTTTTTCCACTAAATCCTTTTTTTTTTTTTTTTTCAGATCCTTTGGCATTTGTTGGTTGTACGTTCATTCCATACTTGATAGAAAGGATCGACTGTGCAGTTGATGACTTCTTCTCGCCTAGTCATGCCCCAGACCAACCTGGTGAAGGCCGCGATCGTGATTTAGCCGCTTAATCATCCGCTCAAATACTATGTATGCATCATCTGAGTCCATAAATGCTGACTCGGGTTTATTTAATTTTATTTTTTAATCTGTAGTTTTTTCTTAATTTATGTAATGTAATATCTCATAAATGGGAAATAAACCACCTTGCTATATTGTCTACTTGGAGAGGGTGAGCAATTTGCTTATGTAACACTTTTGCAAAAGCAACAAAAATAATTGTTAAACACAAACCTTACTAACTATTTGGACCATTCAAAATACTAGCTAAAAAGCAAAAACCATCGCAAGTTTATAAAAGCTATTACCAAACAAGCTCTTAGATCGAGATATGTTCAATAAATAATTAAATCCAAGTGTAAATAGGATAACACTTTCCGCAATTAAAAAACACCCACGTTGTTTGACTTCAGACTTTGGAGTGACAACGCAAGTCACATCCACATGGTAGTCAAACCCTATTGCACAATATAAAAAAGTTTCTCAAGATACAGAAAATCAAGTCATTCTAGAATCTAGATATACAAACAAGTTGCTAAGCATTAAGATATACATACAACTATACAAGTATAACACAGTTAAATCTCATAATAAACATAATAAAGGCTCAAACTTTTTTTCAAAACATGGCTTCGAATAGAGTCAGAGTCCATGTTGAAATGTATTTTCCTTGCTCTTATGATTTATTCCTTAAAATTTTCTCCTACAGGTATTCCCTCCTACTTTTGGAACTAACTTTTTAGATAAACTTTTACACTACTTTATTTTACTAATGTTTTTTTTGTTTGTTTGTTTGTAGATCCTTGGGCTTTTGTTGGTTTTACGTTCATTATATACTTCATAGACCGGATAGCTGATGCACTTTATAACCACTTGTTGCCTTACCACGCTCGAGAAGGCGATTTAGAGCTATCTTGATTGGATTTTTTTTGCTTTAGTTATTCCTTGATACTAGTATTATGTAATCTCCCATAGAAAATGAAGCAGCTTGGTATTATATGTTTTGTTGAAGAAGATGAGCAATTTGCTTATGTAATGTCTTGCTTTTTTCAAGTAAATAGTTACTCGAAACACTAAGGATCATTGCAAAATTTATTGCTAAACACGCCCTTACTAGCTTCAGATTTTGGATTAACTATACAATTCACATCACATGTCCAGTTGTCCACATGTTAGTCAAACCATGTTGCATTATTTAACAAATTTCTTATGATACAAAAAATCAAATCATTATATACTAATAAGCTGACCCTGTATAATTATTAACGACCAAGTTGCTAAGCATTAAGATAGTGGAAAAATAGCATTAAGAAAATATAAATAAATAAATACTGATCTCCCTTCCGTTTTTCATCTCAAAGGTACAAACTACCTACAGTACTTGCAAAACATGGTATCAATCTGAGTCATGTACAATTGTATGTACTTGTTTAAAATTTTGAAGTATCTCATATTCTCAGCATTTCCCTTGTTCTGTTTTTCTGTTTCTCAAATCCTGATCTTACAGGTCTTATTCCTTCCTAATTTTGGAATTAACTTTGCTAATACGAGTATTAATAAATCAGTAGCTATTATGTCATTTTTGGAAGATGAGCAATTTCCCACAGCGTTATATGTGTTCCTTTTTCGGATAAACAGTTAGTCAAAGCACTAAGAACTATTTCAAAAGCTAATGCTAAACACGTCCTTAGGCCCCATGTCGAAATAAATAGTACGAGTACAACTCTTCCCATGATTAAAAGTTTGGAACGTGAAAGTAAGCTTCTCCGGTGCAATTAAAAGTTGTATAAATATAGAGACCTTTTGCAACCTTTTGTATCGGTCAGATTTATACCCCCTACTAATAAGAATATAAGATATACAAGTATGAGGTTATTAAGCTTTTTCCTGCTAGTTTTCTTTCTCTGTTCCTTAAACTTGGCCCTTGCAGACCTAGGTGAGCTTATTAAATTACTTCTCTATCTTTTTACTAGTTATTAATACATTCTTAATTGTACTATTCTTGTTGTATGATATTTTGCTTAGTGTATGTTTGAAGGCGTTACAACATTTTCTACCCCTACATACCTAGCTAGGCAAAACTTGATTTTATTCTTTGGATTATTTTCAATTCAGAAGCTGGTGATCATTCAAATTCTAATGGGAATATCACTATCAAGTGGGATCTTGTCAACTGGACTCCCGATGGTTACATTGTAAGTTGTCCTTCAATTCGATAAACAAATTAGTCAAGGACTAATACTTAATAATTTATTACTTGTACAATATTGTAAGCCGTATTAAAATTGGCAAACAGGCTGCGATTACAATCAACAACTACCAAAAACATCGTAGTATTCGAGCACCGGGGTGGCGATTGGGGTGGACATGGGCTAGAAATGAGGTCATATGGAGTGCAGTAGGAGCTCAAGCGACAAACCATGGAGATTGCTCGAAATTCAAATGATACATCCCACATTGTTGTAATAAAAACCCTACTATTGTAGACTTGAGCCCTGGAACTCCCTTTTACAAACAAGTCACAAATTGTTGTCGAGGAGGGGTGCTCGCTTCATGGTCTCCACAACACCCGTCGTCTCATTCGATTAGCGCCTTCCAACTTAGCGTCGGACGAGCAGGCACTAGTGTTAGGACGGTTAAATTGCCTAAGAAGGTTACATTCAAGGCACCCGGAAGTCGTTACACTTGCGGACCTGCTAAGGTGGTTGCTCGTAACAAGTATTTTACCTTGGATAAGAGAAGGTTTACTCGAGCTAAAAGTAAGTTTGTTACTCTACACATTTAAAATTATGAGTTTAAATTTATCTCAAAAAAATAAAAAATTAAATTAAAGTATACAAAATAAGGTCATACAAGTACTAAATATTGTTGATTTGATATATAGAGTACACATTCGTCGGTTGCTGACTTGTTAATATTTTATTATTTTCACATTTGACAGTCACTTGGAAGGTTATATGCAAGTATGTTGGTACTCGGAAATCTACAACACAATGAAAGTGTATTGGAGAAGAGCAAGTCAGCCCCATTACTCCCATATGTGTGAATGTGTATGATGAAGTAGTTGAATACACATACTCATAAGAATCATTTCAAGCAATTGCATCAAACTAAAGTTGTATGTTATGAATTTCATTTTGATTTTTGTGGGAGGAAAGATCCATTTTAACTATGTGTACGTTGTTGTATAAGCCGAGCTTTAATTTTTAGTGCCCTGATTTTAAACCTCATTAATAATTAAATGGCCATGCTGATTTTAGTGATTTGTACTCGTGCAATTTATGTCAAAATAATGCTGAAAACTATTTGTAAAATTTACTCTCAAATTCTAATTGTTTGATTACATTAACATAAAACCAAATTATAACGACCAAGTTTGGAGCAATTATAAAATAAAGAGAGATTATTAATACTACAAATGTTTACTTTGTGGATCGATTTATGTAATTCAATTCAATGTAACTCTATAAACAACCAAAAATAAATAGTGTAATTGAATGTTATGAAAAACAAAGTTGCAAGCCCAATTTGCCTAAAGTTAGGCAAATGTGGGCCTACAAATCCAAAAATAGTTTTTTTTTTTTTTCTTAACAATGACCCACCCAATGACGTGGAAATTAGCCAACCACTAATTAAGACACAGCTGAACATATAATATGAAAATAAAAATAAAAACCCCCAAAAAGGGAGAAAAATAGAAAATCAGAAAAGAGCGCGTTTGTTTAGTTTAAGAAAGAGTCAATATAATCTCACACGGATATACCATAACACAAGACAAGCTGGAAGTGCACTGTCTTCCACTACTTAACAAATACTAATGTACTTGTAATCTAGTAGCTTCTTCTTACACGACACTGACTATACAAAAACATTGTAAGTTTGTAACTCCCTTTACTTCCTTAGTTTAGTTTCTTCTTAACTTTATGGATTATCATTATTAAATTTTAAAGCAACACTTGCATGCTAAGCAAATCTTGTCCATCAATGTAGTGCATGTGGGTTTTGTGCCACTAATTATCTCATCTATTTAGGGAATTTTTCATGAATTAACGGGTTTTGGTGATGGAGAATAGTATATAACATATACGAGTATATACGCGTAACTTCTAAAGAAGAGTTGTTATGTGAATATGTATAATTGTTTGAGATGTCAGCGTGAAATCCCTTCCTCAACCAATCACATTCATTGACAAAAATTAATATTTTTTCGTAATTTGACAACTACATATATAAAAGAAATTGTCAAATTAATTACTTACTACGTATATGAAACAAAACTAGTAACAAATTAGATTTGGAATAGAATAGTAAAATCAAGCTGCCCCTATTCCTAAACAAAAACAACCAAAATCCAAAAGACATCCCACTAGAAGTCTAGAATCTATGGCATTACACATACCATGGACCATGCTCAAGTCATTATAATAACTTCAAATAATAACACGCTCTCTCATTGTCAAATTTGTCATTTTCATTACCAAGGATGAGACACATATTCTAAAATTCAATGCTTAAACAAAAAAAGTTGAACCAAGAATATTAATAATTTTATTCAACTAGTTGCTCATACTAGTAGTTCATAATTAGTGCAAATTCTTTCTTCTCTTCCCATTAATTCTTAAAAGATTTGGCACGTGAACTTCAGAAGCTACTGGAAGTCCAATTTTACGTTTGTTTGAGCCTCCAACTCCACACCACTCCTTTTCTTTTTTTTTTTCATAATTTCACTATTTCTCTCTCCTCTCAATTCAATTCAATTCCTGGTTATCATCTGTAAATTCTGCAAAATGGGTTTCTTCTCATTTCGCAATTTTAGTTTTTTCAGCATTTTTTTCATCTTCTTCTCTTGCTCTACTATTAACCTTACAGGTAAGCTTTCTTTCTCTCTCTCTCTTTTTCCACTGATTTTGATTCTGGGTTTCTTAAAGTTTGAGACTTTAATGGTTATTTGTTGATCAATTTGAATGATTTCGATGATTTTATGACAAATGGTTTTTACCCATTTTGTATGATCAACAATTTGTAGTGCTGAAGTTTGAGACTTTAATGGTTATTTTTAATTTCATTTGTAATTTTTATTTTCTGAAACTCCCAAAAAAAATTAAATTTTTAAAAAAAAAAAAACTAAGAATGAACTTAATAACTTTTGACGTTGGGGTTTGATCATGAATTTGCAATTCTAAAGTTCGAGACTGTAATAACTATTTTTAATTTCATTTGCAATTTGTTTTTTCTGAAAATCCCAAAAAAAAAATATGCTAAAAATGCTTTAAAAAAAAAAAACAGAAATTGGAATGTTGTGTTGTTGGTTTTGTTAGTATTATAAACATATACCAAGTAATTGTTTGTTTTATGTTGCTACTGTTTTTAATTAGTTGTTGCTGGAATTTACCCTGTTTCATATCTTTACAATTTGATTGGTTTTGGCCTGGCCTTGGCCCTTGGGTCCATGGAATATTACAGTTTCATGAAATTACGTCTTATAAATTGATTCTGTAAATTGGAAATGCTTTCCTCAATACTGTATGATATCCAGAAATACTATCTGAAATGGACTGTATCTGAAAATTGAAATATTTGCTCTGATTATTATTGTTTTGTCTTTGCCCATTTTGTAATATCTTGTATAATTCCTCAACTATCATGACATTTTATTTGCCAATGTGTCATATACTTGTATATGAGTGAACTAGTTATGATAATCAGATAATGTGTGCAATATAATTGTCAACTTAGGTTAGTGATTTGTGAATTTTTGAAAACCTAAAAAACTTCTGGATTTGTGTTGATGGCCATGGAAGGTGAAACCTTGGTTCATGTGGCCGTCCCGCGGTCCGAATCAGATTGGGATCAAGGCTCTCATGTTGTTACTTTGAAAAAATTGCAACCCTAAGAGCACCTAGGTTGCATGTAAATGGCGAATTAGGGATTTTTAGTATGGTTTTATTTTAGTAAATGGGTGGTGTATATGAATACGGTTGTGAATTATACACATTTTAAATACTTGAACGTTATAAATGTCAGTAGGATGTGCTCTACATGTTCTTGTCACTAATTGATATTGTTTCACGAGTTCACGACAAGAGGACTTTAAGACGAAGCTTGATGAATTTGTTTCTGGTTATTTTCAGGAGCATACGATCCTCTCGATCCAAATGGGAACATTACCATCAAGTGGGATATCATAAATTGGACTCCTGATGGTTATGTTGTAAGTACTTCTTTCTTGATTGGGGCTTTGTATATTTGTGTACATTCATGAAGCAAAGACATATGGTGCTGTCTTTTCTTCTAACACCGTGTCCTTGGTTTGAAGCGTGGAATCTTCAGCATATTGTCTATTTATCCAACGACATCATTGTGTTGCTAATCCGGTGTCCAATTTGTATATGAACTGAAAGCTTATGTACCTGATGTTTATTCATTTTCATGTTTCTTTTATACTACGTATCTGTTTAGCACTGCGTTTTGTAATCATTGTGTTGCTAAAGATTATGTATGAAGTAGTATAAGTCTTTCTGTTTTGTAAAATCTTAGGCAAATGAGAAGGAAAATGTTTTAATTGTTGATTTTTTAAGATTAAAAAAAAAATACTTATCTTGCTTCTTAACAGTCTTTCTCCTTTAATTGGACTTTTAGGCTGTGGTTACTCTCTATAACTTCCAGAAGTACCGCCACATTCAAGCACCCGGGTGGCAACTTGGATGGACTTGGGCGAAAAAGGAGGTTATTTGGACCATGTTGGGAGGCCAAGCAACAGAGCAAGGGGATTGTTCAAAATTTAAGGGCACTATTCCACATTGCTGTAAGAAGGATCCAACTGTTGTAGACTTGATGCCCGGGACTCCTTACAACCAGCAAGCTGCCAACTGCTGTAGGGGAGGTGTGCTGAGTTCATGGGTGCAAGACCCTCCAACTGCAATTAGTTCATTTCAGATTAGTGTGGGACAAGCAGGCACCACTAACAAAACAGTCAAAGTGCCAAAGAATTTCACCCTAAAGGCGCCTGGACCTGGCTACACTTGTGGACCGGGAAAGATTGTTAAACCCAGCAAATTCAAATCCCAAGATGGGAGGAGATCCACTCAAGCTTTGAGTAAGTTAATTGGGAGTTACAATTATAAATACTGCATATTGTATTGTGTTTTCAGATATGGCATCATAAACAAAGAATAATTTAAAGTCCTATAAATTTCACAACTTTGAAAAGAAAAAAAAGTTGCCAACCCGAAAGATCCTTGATCACTGCTGTTTTTGATGATCTTTTATGTGCCATTTAATGTTATGGTCAACTTACTGATTTCTTTTCTGAAACTGTGTTTTTCTTTTTAATTGTTTCAGTGACATGGAATGTGACATGTATGTATTCTCAGTTCTTGTCCCAGAAAACTCCTACGTGCTGTGTATCTCTTTCATCCTTCTACAATGATACTATCATATCTTGCCCAACATGCAGCTGTGGCTGTCAAAACAATGCCTCCAACCCTGGAAGCTGCGTAGAGTAAGTTTTTTATTTGATTTACATTCCTCTTCTTGGTGACTTAACTTGTGAAAATTTTAAAGTTGTCATTTTCTGTGATGACAGGCCGAACAACCCATATTTGGCTTCAGTTGTTTCTCCTGCACTTTCGAACAAAAACAGTATCTTGCCACCTCTGGTTCAATGCACTAACCATATGTGTCCTGTTCGGATTCACTGGCATGTCAAAACTAACTACAAAGAATATTGGCGAGTGAAAGTTACAATTACAAACTTTAACTATAGGATGAATTACTCAAACTGGAACTTGGTTGTGCAACATCCGAACTTTGACAATTTGACCGAAAGTTTCAGCTTCAGTTACCAACCACTTACTCCTTACTCGAGTATAAGTAAGTTTTTCTATCCTCTATACTAGTGAAATAAAATTGTGCTCATTATTTCCATATCTTGATTTATTTGGTTTCACTCTAGAAATAACTGATTTGTTGTTATTGCTCTATAGATGATACTGCTATGCTATGGGGAATTAAGTTCTATAATGATCTTCTTATGCAAGCTGGTCCATTGGGCAATGTCCAGTCTGAATTACTCTTTCAGAAAGACAAGTCTACTTTTACATTTGAAAAGGGCTGGGCTTTCCCTCGCAGAATCTACTTCAATGGCGATAACTGTGTCATGCCACCTCCTGATACCTACCCATGGTTGCCAAATGCCAGTCCTCGGCCAAACTCTTCACTCTTAACTACAACATTGATACTATTATCAGCCCTGGCTTTCTTATTTACTCATGTTTAAGAGTCTTGACCTTTCTCTCGGAGTACATAGATATAACATGCAAATTCAGAATGGATTTTGATTCCAATACTTGGCTTTGAAGACCGAGTGGGAGGCCTTTTGAAGATCAGCTGCACGATCACCCTTCAGGGGTGTAGTCTGCTATTTGTCTGATGATTAGGTTGGTGCATTCATTGCCAATTGGTTTTCATTCTTTTGTAATACTCGAGTTTATTAATGTATTAATCATCCTTTTCTGTATATTTCTTGTGTTACAAAAAACTTACAGTTGTTACAAAAATTGCCAACCACACAATGGAACTTAATTCTAACTTATACTTCCCATCATGTTATCATTGCTCAAAATTAGCATGTGTCTGATGCTTTACATATTGCAGAATTCGACTTCTTGTTCAAAACTAAAAATGAATTTTCTATGCCTGATTTTCCAATACTACTCGTGTTCTGGAAATATATTTCCACATCTGATATTTTTATGTCAACTAGTACAATGCTCAAAATTGAGAAAATATGCCACAGCTGAAGATTAGCAAGACAAACGACAAAATCACCGTGAAAACTGAGACTGATGGCTTAAGTCCTGAATTGGGCAAGAAAGGGTAAGTATCAGGTGCAGGAAGCCTGCATTCATCTCCGTTGAAGTAAACTTTCCTAGGGAATGCCCATCCTTGCCTGAAGGTGAAAGTGTTATCATCTTTTTGCATTAAGACTTCAGACTGTACATTACCTAATGGTCCGGCTTCCATCAGAAGATCATTATAGAACTTTTGCCCGTAAAACATCCCTGTATCATCTGCGATAAATATCAGAAAAACTGTCAGAAATTCAAAAGTATATGATTTGTTGTCTGAAGCTATCAGAACCATTGTCAGAAACTTACTTATTGATCCAAAGGGAACAAGAGGTTTGTAGTTGAAGCTGAAGACTTCAGTAACCTTGTTCAGGTTAGGGTGCTGAGCAACTAGAGTCCATTGGCTGTAGTTTGTTCGATAATTGAAGTTGGTGATGCTAACTTTAACGCGCCAATAGTCTTTGTAGTTAACCTTAACATGCCAGTGCACCCGAACTGGGCACATGTGATGGGTGCAGTGAAGCAATGAGGAGCTTTCTCTCCTCCGCGAATTCACTTTTGTCGGACTCAGAATTTTTGAATCACTCCTGTTATGAATAATAGAGTCAGAATTCAGAAAACACTAATGGTAGTGGACTAGTGGAATACTCCAGGGATATTTTTGTATGCTTTCTCACTTTTTTTTAACGACATTAGTAGGACCTAATAATCTATCACATTCCAGATTTCTACAATCCAATCCAATCCAATTCAAAACAACTTGACCTGAATACATTATGTATGATCATTATACTACAAGTTAAACCGGACATAAACAGGATCGTATTACCTAAACTGATCCTGACTAGACGAATAGACTTTACGCAAAGTTAATTGATGAAGAAAAAATCTTACTTGACACAATTTTTCTTATGTTCACATCCACATGAGCAAGTAGGGCAAGGGGTGATAGTTTCATTGTAGAAAGTTGACATGGAGACGCAGCAAGATGGGTATTTCCTCGCCAGAAACTGTGAGTAGGTGCAGGTCACGTTCCATGTCACTGCATCAAACAATCAATCAAGTAATTATTTTAGGTAACTTAATTTTTGTTAATCTGTTATTTTCAAATTTAAATGTGACTAATCATACTAACAATATTTAAACTATGTATTACTGGTCCAAATAAATGACTTTCTAACTAATACTTTAGTTGATCAAATAACAAATAAAAATAAACTTTTAAAATTATTTTAATGAGCACTCATTTGCACAAGTTTCTTACGAGTATATCACAATTGAAAGTTTGAAACTAGTGTGAATGCAAAACTATGCCGAAATTCCTAAATTGTACTTGTACCGGACACTTGAGTATAAGCGTATAGGTAACAATTATCTCATATTAACGGTTTGTTATACATGATGGTAACTAATGGTAATTTATAAAAGGATTAATCCATAATTCCTTACGTGACTATTCATAAATTAAGAAATGACTAAAATGAGGAGGATCCAACCCAAACCTAACCATGCAAACTTAAAATTAGTGATAATCTAATCATTATTCAATAATCAGCTTACAAGCAACCCAAAACCAAACAAAAGCAAAAACCAAGAGATAAGAGTCAAACTTACTCAAAGCCTGAGTTTTACGACGACGATCAGTACTCAAGAAATTAGTAGAAGGAACAACCTTAGCAGGCCCACAAGTATAACCTGGGCCTGGGCCCAACATGGTAAATTTTTTGGGCAACTTAACAGTCTTATTAGTAGTACCAGCCTGCCCAACACTAATCTGAAACTGAGAAACAGACCCATCTTTATCCTGACCCCACGCATTAAGGACACCACCCTTACAACAATTGGCAACCTGTTGATTGTAGGGTACCCCTGGTAAAAGGTCCACAACTGTTGGGGTTTTTTCACAACAATGAGGAATGTTCCCTTTGAATTTCGAACAGTCTCCTTGTTGGGTCGTTTGGGCTCCTACCATTGACCATATTACCTCTTTTTTGGCCCATGTCCAGCCCAATTGCCACCCTGGATTTCCTATGTGCCGATACATTTGGAAATTGTTTATTGTTACTGTTGCCTGCATTTTTATCATGCAATATAAATTTTTGGTTAGTGTAAGATTTGAATTTTGTATACTTATTAAGACTATATTTTTTTTTTTAATTAATGAATCAAGTGCCTTAATACTTTGTTTCAAACTAAAAGGTGGCTACACTCTAAAGTCGTAAAATGACTAATAGTTACGGATCTGAAGAAACTATACGCTCAAAGACTGTTCTTATTCTTAAGAATTTGTGCATCTAAAGTTTAGAAACCAAGAGAGATATATCCTAAACAAAAAGGTCAATTTATTTATTTATTTGCTGATAAATTAAAAATATACATTAATAAAAACATGAAAATAATATAAATATTAGTAGACAAGTATAAAAATAAAATGATAATACTTACCAAATAACCATCAGGGGTCCATGACATAACATCCCATTTGATTGTTATATTCCCATTTGGATCCAAAGGATCATATGCAGCTAAATCCAAGAATAACACATAAATTAACTACTATTAGGCCAAAAAATTATAATAAGTTAAAAAATTCAATGAAAATTAAAACATAGACTAACCTGCATAAGATAGAAATGTCACAAGGCAAAATGCTATAATAAGACTCCTCATTTCTGCATATGCAACTCTCAAAAAACAATGGTCTTGCCTAAAATATGATACAGCTTCTTTGATCACCAATTGGTTTTGAATAACGATTTCAAGTTCCTCGACTCTTTGCCTAAGATCTGATCTAAAAATCTAAAACAAAAACTACGAAAATGTACTAACAATGTAAGCAAAATTTGGTGATTGAATTGTGGAATGTGCAATAGTAGTAGACTAGTAGTAGTAGTTTGTTTTTCTTTGTATGACTTTTAATGCAAGGTAAGCTTTACTACCAACTGGTTGTTGAAGGACTTTATATGATGTCTGATTAGGGGATTTTTATCCACCAATCAGCATCCGACACGTGGGCCAGCCAGGTTTCGCCACGTGTCCTTCATGTAGGCCAATAGGAGCCTGCCACGTGTCATCAAGAGATTCGTCCTCCTTGGACCAATTGCAATGTGACACGTGTCCACCCATGCCAAATGGGAAAACCGGCCAACAAGGCCCAATCATTGTGGGAGGCCCAATCAGCCTTAGGTTTAACCTAAACCTAGTACTGGCACGCATCCCAAGGCATATAAATATGCCCATTAATCCTCATTAAGGGGGATGACGCACATTTAACACTCTCACCTAGAGAGACCCAATTACTTTTATTTCCGCATTAATTACTCCTTAATCAAGTACTAACTTGACCGTCGGAGGCGGATCTCCAATCGTCCGGAGCATCCGTTTGTTTTGCAGGTACAGGCGTCCGGTTCCAGTCTCAAAATTGTAACTCTCCCGCAGGACATCAGAAAACCCCGAAACATTTTGGCGCCGTTTGTGGGGAGAGTACTTCTGAGATGGCATCCACGTCTGTACCGACTCCTGAAGAGAAGCGTCCCCTGGACGACCCTCAAGTTCAGTCGGACCATGATACTGAGGAAGAATTTGAAGTTGAAGCTCACACAGCTTCAGACGGGACCCTAAGGGCCCGACGCACCCGTCATACCGAAAGGAGAGAACGGGAAGATCTTCAAACTGGACTCAGTGATCTAGCCGGCGCACCGCCTGTTCAGCAGCAGACGGCTGATCGGTCTGCTCCCATTACAAGAAACGAACTCGTGACCTTCATGAGGGGCTTCAAGGGAGAGATTCAAGAGTTGCTCAACAAGAAGTCGCCTGCTCTGGCCAAGGAGTAGTCGGCTAAGAAACCTTCCTCTTCAGGGAAGAGGAAGCCTGTTCAAGGGCGAGAGGCGACCCCTCATCCTAACTCTAGGAAGTGGGAGCCGCCTGTCCTTGATTTCACAAAGTACCGCTTTCCTACTCCAGGAAAGAGGAAACCTGTTCGTCATATTCAGGCGGACGGGTCGAAGAAAACATACACAGATGCTCGGCTATTGCTAGAGCAGAAGAAGAATGACCGATTGTCAGAGTCGGCCTCTACTTCAGACTTCCAAGACAGTCTACGCAATACCTCGATGAGGTATACTCAGTCGCATCATGAGAGTCAGTCAGGCGGTACCTCCCGTCAGTCCGGTTTTCACAGTGACCAGGCGGTACCAAACTTACCATTTGTACCGCAACAACAATACTTTTTGCAGCCACCTCTGTTTGGAGGGCATGCAACAAAGAATGTCCAACCTATGGACTGGCAGCTACGGTTGCTTAGACTTGGGGAACAGCCGTCGGCCTTCTCCAAGGAAATTACTGAAGCCGCTCAGCCGGCCAAAGTGAAAAATGTATTAGTAGGCGCCTATGACGGCACTACTAACCCAGAAGACCATTTGATGGCATTCACCAACCTGATGTACCTTCAAGGGTTGGATGATCCCACTTGGTGCAAGTGTTTTCCAGCGACTCTCAAAGGAATCGCACAACAATGGTTCGGCAACCTGCCGACTGGTTGTGTGAATAACTTCAGGACGCTTGCTTACTTATTCACCTCCAACTTTGCCATGAATATACCTGCGAAGAAGACGACCCTTGATTTAGGAACGATTCAGAAGGGCGAGAAGGAGGGGCTTCGTTCTTACATCAAGCGGTTTAACCTGATGAGAATACAGATTCAAGGGTTACCGGATGAGGTAGCCTATACTGACTTTTTCAGAGGCCTCAAAGACGGGTAGACATTCAAATTTGATTTGGTTCGAAAGAGGGTGGCGACTCTTCAAGAGGCCTTGATTGAAGCGGAAGCCTTTTATACAGGCGACTGATCTTTGTAGTACGGGAAAACAGTCGGACGGGAAAAGGTTCGACAAAAGAGAAGGACGACAGAAACAGTCGTTGAACAAAGATGAGAAGAATTGAAAAGAGGTTTGGGCGGCTGATTCCTCTAAACAGCCGGCCCAGAAGAAGAGGAAAGAATTCAAACCATACTCCCCAAAGTATGCGTTTAACAAGGATAGCCAAGCTATCCTAAAGGAAATCAAGGGACGGATCTCAATTGAGAAGCCGGCCCCCATGAAGGGTTCTGCAAGCAACCGGAACCAAGAAAAATTATGTGATTATCATGAAGATGTTGGTCATCACACCAACGAATGCATCAGTCTCATGCGGTATCTGGACCGCCTGGCTGAGCAAGGCGATCTTGACTCTTATGTCAAGAAATCTACGGGGAACACTTCCTCGAAAAAACAGTCGGCCAAAAAGAGTCAACAGGCCGACAGCTCTGATACAGATGATGTAGTCGTCTACACCATTGCAGGCGACTTCTCAGGAGGCGGCCCCACTATTAGGGGAAACAAAGACAATATCAGGCGGCTAGACGTAAATTCCGTTCACCAAGAACGACCCTCCAAATACTCATTTCCTGAGATTGTCATCACTGAAGAAGATCTAGGAGGGGTAAGGGGGCCGCATGACGACCCTATCGTTATTGAATGTAAAGTGGCCAACCAGAGAGTTGGTCGAATCCTTATAGATACCGAAAGATCCTCAGATCTTATCAGTAGCAAATGTCTGTCAAAACTCAAATATCAGACTGATTGCATACATCCGGTATCCCACCCTTTAGTAGGGTTTGGAGGAGGAGTCGTCCACCCAGTGGGACGAGTGGATTTACCCATCCGCCTGGGTGAAAAAGGGGAAGGATGACACATGGTAGTCCGGTTCCTGGTAGTAGAAGAACTCTCGGCCTACAACATGATTCTGGGACGACCAACCCTGAATAATTCCAAGGCTGTTATAATCCCATCTCTTATGTTGCTCAAGTTTGAGAGGGATGATGGAACAGTCGGGTCCCTAAGGGGAGATCAGAGGATGGCCCGAGAGTGCTATCTCTCGGATATCAAGCCCACTGTTATGGCCGCTGGGTCAAGTGGTGGAAAAACAGACCTTGATAATGTCAAGGAGAGTGCGCTTGTTCAAGAAGCAGGCGGCAAGAAGAGAAAGGCAGCCCAGACGGGGGCCGCAAGAAAAGACAGAAAATAGCAATCATTGGCAGAGGAGCGGTCGGATGAATTCCGCCCTCAGCCGGCTGGTGAGCATACGGACCTAATCTTAGACGACTCGCGTCCTGACCGAACAGTCAAAGTTGGGACGACTGCTCTGAGAGTCCTGGGTGACGACTTTCACAAACTATTGAAAGAATACAAGGACATCTTTGCATTCGAAGTCCACGAAATGCCAGGCATTAGTCCTGACCTGGTGGTACATAAACTGGCTGTGGATCCGAAAAAGAAGCCGGTAAGGCAGAAGAAGCGGAACCATGGCGAAGAAAGAAGTCAGGCGGCAGCCGCCGAAGTTAAAAAATTACTTGATGCAGGGTTCATTCAGCAATGTTACTTCCCAGACTGGGTTGCAAATGTGGTGCTTGTTAAAAAGCCGAATGGCACCTGGCGAATGTGTGTAGACTACACAGACTTAAACAAGGCGTGCCCCAAAGACAGTTACCCTCTGCCTAAAATTGATAACCTGGTCGACTCAACAGTTACCCTCTGCCTAGAAGTACTCTACATGTACCTGGCCGTCTCTGATCATGCGCTAAGCGCTGTTCTTCTTGCTGAAAGAGACGACTGTCAGCTCCCGGTCTACTTTGTCAGTCATGTACTGAAAAATGCCGAGTTGAGGTATCCCTTAGTGGAGAAATTTGGTCTTGCACTCTTCATGGCTGTTAAAAAATTGAAACCCTACTTTTTGGCACATGCAGTCGTCGTGTATACAGATCAACCTATCAAGCGGTCACTGACCACCATGGAGTCGTCAGGCCAGATGATCAAATGGGCCATAGAAATACAAAGCCTCGAAGTTACTTTCGAGCCTAGAAAAGCAGTGAAGGGGCAAGCCTTTGCTGACTTTATTGTTGAGATGACTCGTCCCCCTGATTCTCGAGATCCAGACCAAGTCTGGAAGGTATATGTGGACGGAAGCTCTACTTCAAATGGTTGTGGAGCAGGCGTCATATGTCAGTCGCCAGAGGGCGACAGGTACGAGTATGCTCTACGCTTCAGTTTTCAGGCCTCAAACAATGAGGCAGAATATGAAGCTTTACTAGCCGGAATCCGCATGTGCAAGGCGGAAGGGGCACGAAAGATAGACGCCTGTTCCGATTCACAATTGATAGTGAGTTAGTATAGTGGCGAATACGAAGCAACCCATCCGGCCATGATCAAGTATTTACAGGCGGTACGACAAGCAGTCGGATCCCTTGAAGATTTTCATCTAACTCAAGTGCCGAGATCAGAAAACAACCAGGCGGATGCACTTTCAAAATTAGCATCATCCGCCTTTTGTGATACTCCTCGAACTGTTTTTTGGGAAGTAATGGAGAAGAGAAGCATCGAGGAAGACCCTATTGGAATCCTAGACAGAAGCTCAACCTGGATGGATCCAATCAGGGCATATCTGACAGACGGTACCCTGCCGGATGATCATCACCAGGCGGCTGCGCTGAAAAACGGGTAGCCAGTTTTGAAATGATAAGGGGAGAACTTCACAAAAGAGGGTACCTTCAACCCTACTTAAAGTGTGTTACTCCAGAAAAGGGACGAGAGATACTAGACGATCTTCACTCTAGTTACTGCGCTTCCCATATAGGCGGTAGGTCGCTTGCTCAACGGACAAGGCGGCAGGGCTACTTTTGGCCTACTTTAGAAGCAGATGCAATGGAGATGGTGAAAAAATGTGACAAGTGCCAAATGTTTGGCAAACTAATTCACCGTCCGGCTACTGACCTCACTACCATTCATAGCCCACTACCGTTTGCTAAGTGGGGCATGGATATTCTGGGTCCCTATACGCCTGCTATAGGCGGAAGGAGGTACATACTTGTTGCAGTCGACTACTTC